TCACCTTTGCATTTGAAATCTATACTACCAAATATGTAATAAAAGCCAAAAAAAATCTGAAAGTCATTTAAAAGCTGTCATTAGGGTTAAGAAGACTCACGGGGAGGGAAACACCTTGATTATACATACATAAACCTCCATCATAGGAGGCATCACTTGACAAACTCTATTTGTTTATATGAAATATGTAGGAAGATCTTAGAAAGTTTTAACTGAAGAATGACACCTAAGTGACCACCTTCACAGCAGGTCACACAGTATATTTAGGTGAAGTTGCTACATTGCTGTAAGTAAACAGAGAAGCAGAACAGAAATTTGAGAAGCAAATTTCCAAGTAAAGCTAATGGAAAGTTTATCACTAGCTATTTAAAACATTCCTTTTATTTGCCCCTGTTATATTATTCAGCCTCCTAGATCTGTAAGACAACATACAGAAAATGCACATTACCACACCTGAATAACCAGTTCAAGGAGTCATTCCATCTGAGTGGCTGATAGTGGTCCTAGGAAAGCATTCTGTTCTTCAACTTTTGAAATACCTTCTTCTCCCACATCGCTGAATTCAAATACCTATTCTGTATCACACGAGGTTTTTTCCTAGTGTCCCTGTATATTATCCTATTTGCTAATAATTGGGTTTTAGCATTTTTGCAAGTAATCCCATTTTCTCTGAAAATTCAGGAACATGTTTATGCATTTAGGTGAAATTTAGGCTGATTATCCAAAGAGTATTAAAATTTCCCATCCTTATTTTTCAAGATCTCTTTCCCCCTCAAACACTACAATTATCATAAGCACTTATATAAATCTTAACTCAAATGCAAGATGTACTGGACAGTACTTGCTGATAATTTAAAAGAAAAGCTGAAACAGACAACTGCCTAGTACACCTACAATCAGTCATGTAAAGAACGTGCTATGTTGCATTCTACCTTTTCATGTGGAATTACCTTTTGTTACTTGTCTGTCATTCTTCACCCAGACACTAACCTCTTAAGGTCTAAAAAAAATGAAAATAATCTGTTTGCATTTTACCTGCTAAAAGAGCTTTAAACAACCTGATACTATATTCTGTTGTTCTTTGTCCTCTGTACAGACACTACATTAAAATGTAATGTGTAGAACATGAACAGTATAGAGAGAGACATGGTTGAGCCACATCCTCTCTAAAGGATGCCATTGAGACCAACTTAGTAGATGAAGTTCTATTACAATTTTTGGTGTAAAAGGAATACAGGTAGGAAGTTGTAAATCTCTTCAATATCAGTGAATAAATTTGACAGAGCATTTTCATTTTTAAAGGACACTTCTCTTCCCTTTCAGGTAAATTAATAGGTATTCTAAAATTATTTGGTAGTTTTGTAACCATTTTATCAAAGAACAAAGACTATTAGTATTAAGTTTGCCTGGATGCTTTCTTTTTTCCTTTCCAAAATAAATTACTCAAAAAGGTTTCTATCATCTTGAAAAATACAAATTTTATCTGAAATAACATATTAGGTATAGTTCAATTTGCATGCAGAGGAAAGAACTGTTTCCCTAGTAAATCAGTATAGAGGATATATTGCGTGAAGAGATTTGAAATCTTAGTACTCATATTCCAAGAGAATATCAGAATAACATTTCACATCCTCTAGAATAGGTTCTCAAAACACATTCTGCTGACATGAAAATCTATCTCAAAATACCTGTCACAAATATTTATTATCCCTCTGCACGAGAGCCAGACATGAGCATATGGAGTCAGCCCGTTTCCCTGATTCTCAATAACCATTTGGATATACAAGATAGTGACTGCACACTGAAGGGTAATGACAACCAGCTCCTCTTTAGAACAACTACGTGGAGAGCATAAATACAAAGATGGGTCCCAGTCTCTCAGATAACAAACACGTTCACTCTCTTGCTCCATTTCTCTAAAAGACAAATATTTAAATATTTTAGATACATCAACACTTTGTGCACACCAGGTTAGGAGTTTCAAACCTAGACTAACGTGTAGCCCAGGCACCTTCCAAAGAGGGTGATGCCATAGACTCCTCAAGCAGAATCAAGTGACAGGTGTCACCTAGGTGAATGCCCTAACTGCTGTAAGTGAAACCAACCTCCTGCTAAAAGCAGTTTTGAAAACTATCATCCCTGCTGCAAGTGATGCCTTCCAGAGGCACACTACCAAGAAACTTCAGAACACGGTGCTCTTTGAAGTATATGGCACACACAATGAGAAATACTACATTGCATTTATTTGGGTCTGGTGTGAACTCCTACAGTTAGAACTATTGCTCACTGCTTAAACTCATCTACAAAGCTGAGGTTTTGATGCCAAGCAGGAAATATCTACAGATTTGCTACAGCATGCAAGACTCAGTAAAATAAAGGTGCATTACCATAAAGGTGTAAACCCTCATTCAATTCACTAGAACAATAAATATCTGTTGTCAATGATAAGTTGCAACACAAGGACCACCACCAAAAAAACACAACTAAACATTGTCTGTATTTCCAGAAGTAGAATATCATGTTATCTTCCATGACTGCACCGTACAGTTTTCACTCAGGTTATACATTATTTTGTAAAATTTCTTTGTTTTCTTTAAATACTTCAGCAGCATTAAATATTTCCAGCAACAACCACTGGAAAGTTTCATCACAATGAAGTAAACAGTCATTAATTCCCCAATCCCTTCTTTTCTCTTCCACAATACGGTGGCTTGTATATCATTTTAAACATGTTTCCAGAATTGAAAACAAAATAAAAATATGATCAATGTGTATATTGATAAAATGCTAGTATTTTAAATGTTGTTTTTTTTTTCATTCAAATACAAGTAATACTTTTTCTGACTTGATCCATTTCTCTAAGACTTACCTGTAGCAAGTTTCTCTGAAAAATTCTTACAGGTGTTTTTGAACACATTTCAAATACATAAAACAATGGTTTAAGAAGGTCACAGTGATCAGAAGACTCATTAGACTACCAAAAGTTCTTTCTTGACTCAAACAGATGCATGAATACATCTAGAGTAAGGAATATGTTAAGAATATTTTATTTAAATTACAAAATAAACTTATTTTTAAATTTCAGTTTTAAGGTGTTTTCTTCTAATTGTGATAATGAAGATTTGTTTACCATGTCCGTGCTAACATACAACCATTATCCTTGCAACATTGCCCCAACACTTTTGATATAGGAAGTGTGGAGTAACCCACAGAAGAGTGACAGATGCGTAATTATGCACAGATGTTGTGTTAGCTCAAGTAACTCCCAACTGTTTGCAATAAAGTTTCAAGTGACATTCATATATCAGCATATTTTTTATTTTATCAGAAAGGATAATGAAGAAATAAAGGCGCTTTACCTGTATCCACGAAGGATCCATGGCTCAATTTTGTAATTGCAGTTAGATGAATATGGAAAGAATGTTTACAAATAGCTGTCTACATTCTTAAAAGCATTTACATTACTTCTACAGTCACCCATTGAGATTTATTTCATGCAAATATTCTGGCAAACTTTTTTTCTGGAATGTTTCTACAAATATAAACTTTTAGATAAATTGCTTCCCCTAAGTATTCTGACAATTTTAAGACAAAGATCCATTGCAAGACAAAAAAAGCTCCATGTGATTCCTGAATCCTATCAAACAGCTTCAGTTTCAAATGACAAGTACTTGGAATTAATTATGCACAAGCAATTTATACCCCAAGAATTCTCCACACTAACTGCTTGATACAGATTGCAAAATAACAAATACAGTGGAGGACATCCCAAGGTCTGTGTGAAATTTAAGACTTTTTAAAAGATACTTAATGGTTTATTCATTAGTGAATGATTTCTGTATCACTTCTTTCATCACAAAGACTACATCTGAAATAAAGCATTGTAGGAGTAATAATTTTTAAATGATCAGAGTAGCAATAGCAGCTTACGTTGTGACAATGAAAAAATGAGTGTAGATTCCAATCTGAGCTGCCCAATACAGGTATGAGAATTTTGAAATTTCAGAAGAAAACAATTGCTGAGGAAAGCCTAGTAATAACATTTCCTAAATGCTGAAGTTTCTAAGTACAGATCATTAGAAAAAAAGAAGGCACAAAAATAGTATTACTATTTTCTTATCTGTCCTTTTAAAAAAAACACTTAGAATAACTTCAAAAGTAGATATTAAACATGTTAGCTATTCCTGTATTTTACTTTTAAAATCTTAAAAAGTTTCTCTTTTAGAGAACAGGAAATGCCTGCTCTAGTCAATCACATTTGTTATAAGACAGTAATCACTTAATCTCATTTGAAGAGAACCTCATGATATAATAGGGAAAGAAGAAACCACATATCCTATGGTTTCAAAAAGAGGCTTGACATTAAGAAACATTTGATGTGTGAAGAAACTTAATTCATTTTCAAACTCTGTTAACCCTTAAATAAATGTTATTTACCACACAATGCTCCTGACAAGTTACCTAAGACAGAAGGCATATGCCAAGTCTGACAGCAGCTACTGCTGTGATACACCTGCTGCTGTCAGGAAGGGAAAAATTCACTTGAATTTCAGAAGATTTTAATTGGTCTCTAATTAATCAGAGGGAAACATTTTATTCTTGGTCACTAATGACCACCAGCCAGCAGGTTCTAGGCTATTTTAGAACACTACAGTGGAACTGACAGCACAGCTCTAGAGCTCTAACTCTGAACAGAGTTCTGTCCTTCACTTCATAGGACGTAAATCATTCAATTTCAAAAACTTCCATTTCTTAACACCTCATAAAGACCAGTTTGCTTAATTAGGTCTAACCTACAAGTATCAGATTCAAGTCTAGACCTAGTCTTTTTTCAGACCACCTCAGTCAAGCTTGGGTTTTACTGGAAAAGCAGGCATCACAAACATCCTTTTACCTTTTTCTGAGTGGAAAGGAGCAGGGTTTTTTTGTTTGTTTGTTTTTGGCTGGGGGGAAAGCATTTCTTTTCTACATTTATACTCCTACACTTTATGTCTATTTACCTCAAGGACTTGGGAAGGATTTCTGGTCTTTTCAGTGTGTTCCCACTACCGAAGTTTTGGCTGTGAAGTTCTCCACATGAAGTTCTGAAGTTCCACATGAAGCCATGAAGTTCTCCACAAGGCCTGCAAAAAGTGAAGAAACCAAACAAATTTGCCTTAGACATAGGCACTGGTACCATCTGCTGTTTGAGTCTTCAGCCTAAGTACATTAGCTGAGGCAGGTTCCTGCAGCTCATGCTCCCTCAGCTGCTGGAGTAGCACAGGGAAGATAAAGCCACGCTCTTAGACCATTACCACATTCACTGTTATCTATACAACTAATGGTTTAATCCACCAGACAGTCTAAATCTATCTAGTTATACCCGCTGCCCCACTGCAGTGAGCAGGAAGCAGTGCACAGCTCTGAATTCTTGCCATGATGCACAAGGCAGGACTTTCAGACACTCCTCCAAAACATGACCCCTCTCTGCTAAGTCACATCACCATTGATCCTTCCGTGTATCAGCTGCATCTGGTTGCAGACTGGCTTTCACTATTCCTCTGGTTAAAGCAAAACAAAACGCTAAGTACAGCTTCTTACTTTATTTAAATGCCAATAACTAAGAGATTGACCTGCAGTTCTTTAAAATGCATAGATCTTCCCTCCCTCCTTCCCCCCTCCTTTAACATAATGCAAATCCACATTTATCCCTTTTACTTCTGGGGGTTTGCTGCAAATTTCCTCCATTTTCCCTTTTTGATGATATACGCCTTTGTACAAAACCACGTTGCTTTAATGCATTATGCACCATGTGTCACACTTTTGAGTGGAAACATCAAAGCTTTGATGTGTGATTTGTTTTCACATTTGCATAATCTTAGACATTCTGAACATGCTGAGGAATCACACCTCAGGATCTTGGCAGAGAACTTCTCAACAGGGCTGAAGATTGGGGTAAGAACTGGGACCTTGGAAACAGATTCCCTATCCATTCCACTAGAGGCTGTGACTCAGTGCTGTGCTGCTCTGTAACACAGCACTGAATCTTCCCTGATGTACATGAATTGATTAAGGGCACATTTACCAACAGAGGGAGGTAAAAATCAAAACCAAAACTGCAGTAAAAACACAAACCACCTTGTAACCCATTAACTTTGAAAGCAATCAGCCAGCTACACTTGGGCTCTGGTACAGACTTCACAATTGTTCCATTTCTCAGTGTGCTACAAGGAGCTAGAAAGAAACACTGTTCTGGAGTTACTATTAAGTTCTCCTCTTCATCTCTCCACGTTATTTTAATATATCACTTCAAATATAAATAGCATGTAACCAAGCATTCAGCATTGCTATTGTAAACACAGCAAATAAATGCATACTGCAAACCCTAAAATAAGTTAGTAATTTGGAAGATTAGTTGATATCAACATGTGCTAATCAGCATTGCCAGACCCTTTGCTACTGAGGAGCAGAAGGGTAACAGAAGCTGCAACTCATCTTAGCTTTCTAACATGAGTAACAACCTGGCTATTTCCCAGCTAAGAGCAGCTACCGAGTGCTCCCTTTCTACCAGCTGAGAGAAAATCATCGTTGAAAAGAGAGCTGTGTGGGGAGAAGCAGATACGTGGCGTCTCTGTAGATCCGAAGCAGCACTTGCAGTGTCATAAGCATTTTCCGATAGCCTGATTCCTGAAAGCTGAAAGTCTGGGTATCAACATTTACATCAAGCAAGCCAGGTGCTTTTTCTCTCTGCTCTGAAGAAGGTCAACAGGATGGAGATTATTTCTTCATGCATGAGCAAATAAGGACCAAGAAAATTACGTGAAGCTTAAATGGTTGTTTTAAAGCAAGAATAATCATGGAAAAGATAATCCCTACACGAACTGGCATTAGAATCATTCCTTGCACACGTTTGGCGGCTTTGAATTACACTCAGAAATTGCAATGTTTATACTTACAGAGCAGGTATGTCATTTTGATGCAATGTTAAGTGAGAGTTGACTTCTGCTTTGAGAAAAAGTATATAGAAAAAAAAACTATTTGAAATTGTTTTCTTTCCCTTTTAGGTTAGACACATATATATAACCAATGTAGCAATCTATTTAAGAAAAGGTAAAGAGTCTTATATCTTCATAGACATAAGGAGTCTCTGGGGATCCGTATGACTCAACAGAAGAACCGTTAAGACTAACACCTCTGCCTTCCCCACACATTTGTCACAAAAGCATTTATACAGAGGGCTACATCAAGTTAAGTTAAGAGGTAAAAACCAGCAGAATCAATACTTTACTAGCTATTCAAATATGCATTCAATCAATACCATGCGTGATAGTTACCTATCATAACTTATAGTCGAATAGTTTTGAAAAGAGCTGTTACTTTTTTTCCCCAATTCAAATCAGAAGTAGGATTGCACTGTCTCACTCTCTTCTGCCAATAATGCCCAAGTGTCATTGCCTCCTGATTACTCAAAAAAAAAAAAAAAAAAAAAAAAAAAAAAAAAAAAAAAACAGTATTAAAGATGTGAAGTAATATGAAACTGCCAAAGAATGACTAAAGCCCAAAAGCTTTGTTTGTCTTGGTTCCAATTTGCAGGCATTAAAAAGTTGAAGACTTCCAGTGTTTTACTGTTGATGATTTGGTCTCTGCACCATCACTTCACTTACTCTAATTGCTCTGGCATAGACAAAGAATACCAGGCCTGAATACGAAGCCTGCGCCCAGACCTATGTGTGGTACACGTGATTTCTCCAAACAAATATTTAAGAAAATATTTAAGAAAATTCTAAAGTAGGGCAAAGAAAACATAAGGCAGCTAGACTGCAAATCAAATATTATAATTCCTTTGAAGTTGGATCAGATTTGAATGCTCAGAATGGGACTCTGAAGCAGGTAGGACTGCTTTGCTCAGCCCTTGGCATCCTCCCTGAATGCCACAGAAGTTATCCTGTGCTGCTGAGGCTGGATTTAGAAGCTTCCCTTTGTATTCCTCAGGCCTTTCCACAGTGTGCACCAAAAGGTTGTTTTTTGGTTTTGTTTTGTTTTGTTTTTGTTTCTTTAATCTTTTCCTCCTTTAAGTATCAAAAGGATCTTAATTTCTGGGCCAATGAACAAGTCAGACATCTAAATCTGCAGCTCACAGAGACACACTCAGTACTATATGTTGGCTTTCTGAAAGGAAATCAATATAATTTATTTTAATCTTGAATTTAACTGTAATTGATTTTTTTCCAATTAATTATACATTTAGAAACACATTTCTGTCATCAGAAGTAAGATTACTTAATTATGAATAAAGAAAAACAATCTCTTCAGATATAAGTTGGTAATCCTTTACACAAACCAAACTTACCCAACAGCTTGTCTCTGGTTGTAACAACTAATTCTGCAGACACGAAGGCAGCCAATAGCCTTATGCACATGACAGAGAGGTTGAAGTTTGACTGAGGATTTAAGCACATCACATGAGGCTGAGATGCTGGGTCCGGAGGAGTCTTGCTGCCTGAAGGCACAGATAAGGTACGAGGGACGTAACGTAATTTCACTCTTTCAGCAGTTTCTGACTATTTGTGTTTGTTGCAAGAAAATGGAAAAGGTTATGCTGTGTGCTTCATGTGATTTGAAGTGTATTTCAAGGACAGAGAAACTGAACAGTAACGTTTACAAGAAAATTGCCCGATTAGCGGTTTATGTAAACAAGGTGGCATGTAGGCAGAGAGGAGGACACAAGAAATACCATCCAATCTGTGGGGACAGGTCACCAGCTAGACTGACCACACTGCAAAAACTGCACTGGAAATGGCTCACATAGAAAGGGATTTGCTGGTTCCCCTACCAGGCAGAAACCCTGTACAGGAAAATGCAGAGAGCACAGTAAAGAAAGCTATTCTACCCCCTGAGTAGCCTTAGAATAACCCGAACTACTTTGCATCCATTAGACAGAGAAATTTAAGCATGAAGAAGAAATGCTTACGTGCATTTTGCATCAGAACTGACTACACGAGAAGCATCCAACACTGTACCGTGCAATAGCACAGCCAGGACAGCACAGCAGTTAGCACATTGGCAGAGAAGGTCACCGTGTGCTTTTCATTCAGAACCCAAGTAGAATGAATTTCTTACACCGAAATGTGCTTGGCAGGTGCTGCTTGGTCCCAGTTTTAAATTCAGACCTTTGGGAGAAATAACATAGGTTTGTAGCTATGTCCTTGACTTTGCTGAAATTCCTCCTGAGTAGCAGAAGACCTGAGAGAAGGAGCCACTCTCTGCACTCTCACAATGCAAACATCTGTCTCCCTCCTGTCATGTATGTCAGGGCAGAGTCCCATACAAAGACATATAATCCTGATCCTACGTAACACGTGGTAATCAACAGCATGAACACCTCTTAAACCCAGCTCAAACAAGGGAAAGCAAAAAAAGCAGTGATTTGCATATTGGTTTCATACATTTACCTAGTGCAACAGGACCCATCTCAAATTGCACATTTAAATAATTTACCAAGTAGTAAGTATCTTTTGCATCAATTTGGTTGAAATATTCTCCCTTGAACCACCAGAGAATAAAAAAACTTCTAAGGTTTGCTTTTATCACTGGGGAAAAAAAAAATAAATAAATAAATAAAAAAATCTGATCTCAGTTACACTATGTAATCAAAGAATAATTATCTTGCAGCCATTAAAACCACAATTTATTAATTTATTATATTTCAGTCCAAAAAGAACTCCAGCACATCTTTCAGCACTTTAAATCCAAACAGTTTTGATGAAGGTAAAATTATTTTGTCCAGGTTCTGCCACATTTATGTATATGAAATAATTCAGAATAGAACCTCACTCTATGAAGCATCTCACTTGAGTCACTGAGTACCCATGCAGTAAGAAGTCAGAATCTGACCCCTAATTGTAGGGCTGAATAATTACGCCCTTCCTCCTTCACACCCCACTCCCACAGACACAAAGCACTGAATTTTCTCACTAAAATACTTTATCACAAGAGATTAATTAAAATGTTAATATGACTGCTTTGAAAACTGATCCAAAGACTTTAATATCATCATGTATTAAAACTTAGTACTTGAGCAGTGAACTAACAGCCTCTGGGCCAGCATCAGAACCACTCTACCATGAAGGGATGCAGTGAAAGA